CCATTCAACATAAGCCCTAAAAAGCTATTCAGATTATCTACGTTTCTCTTGAAGAAAACCAGAAAAAATCCTTCAAGACTGTACTGAGACAGTGATAATTAGATGTCAGTTAACTCAGTTCAAACCCTGAGATCTCAAAATCCTGTAAAGCCTGAAAGGGCATACACCCTTAATGCTTCTATTCTTCCTTACAGAACAAATGTTTTCCTAAGTGTGCTCAATAACTGAGCTCGGAATAAATTGTGTAGCTTGATTAGTTCTGATTTGAACCTAACTAAACACGTTGGACATATTAACTAGGCCTGAACTTTAAACATCTGATGGTACAATAACAAGTTAAGATTTAACCTCATTTTTACCCTTTGAAAGAAAATCTGGATCTAAATATATTTAAATAACATTCTTTTACCAGCGAACATTCCTCTCTGTTCTTGGTACTCAGTGTTTAAACATTCTTATCTTTTGTTAGTTAACTGACACATGAAATAAATAATTCTTTAACTAATGAAAAGTGTACTTTGAAGGTGAACTATTAAGACATTTATTTTTCCCAATATAAGATCTGGTTTCCAAAGGTACTATATTCTTGCAGCTTTGACTGCCTTCTATTAAAATAGGTGGCACTCAGATAATCAGGCAGCATGCACTTCAGTGACAACCAAGATTAAGATTTTTTTGAGTATCTTAAAACAAAACCATGATAAACAAGGAAAAAAAGGAAAGTGTCATTCTCATTGTCCAAAAAATCATGAATAGAATTAAGAGATTTAATCAAATTTATGATTGCTGAGAACCTGTTGGAAATACAAGATTTTAATAAGTGTGCATGTTATCATTTGTTTTGCTTCAGTTACTACTCCCACTAGCATTCCAAAATCACATGGAATAGAAGAAAACATACACTAAGCCACTGCAATAAGCTTTTGATGATTGTCAGTTTTCTTCCCCTCACCCATATATTTGTTTTACATGTTGACTGTGCTCTCTTGAGAAAACAAAATGCATGTCTATTTGTCATTATCTGTCATTCTCATGGAACATATTAGAGATCATACTGAAAAATTGGACTGAAGGGAA